ATGCATAATTGTTTTACTCTCATTGAAAATTCTCTTTTTATAGATGGATACAAGACAGAAATACACACACTACTCAGCGGGGTCAGCTTAGTGTCTCTTCTGCAGTAGCCTGAAGAGATGCTGAGCAGAAGAGCAAGGTTCTTGCTCTAAACACCCACATTTCCCTTGCCATGGCTTGCATCCCTGCCATCTTAAACTTTTTGAGATTTTACCAAGTGCTAGGTGAAGTAGGACTCCCTTGCATTTAGTCAAAGTATCCTTCACTTAAATTTCTAGGATCACCATGTGGGTGTATCTGGCTTGTTAGCCAACATATCCTCACTCTGCATGATAGATTCAATCCTCCTCTTTCCATAATTATTGTATTCTCCATTCTGGTTGACTGCCAGAGCCAATAGTTCAGTTATTTGAAAGTTTAACTTTCCCTCTATCTTTGAATTTTTCTGGCTAGGAAGTTCCTGGGAACCCAAAGCCATGGGACAGATTAATCTAAGTCTTTGTAGTCAAGTTAATTTGTGTAGTGTGGAATGGTAGAGGCTGCTTTTTCTCAAAGGAGTCCTGTATGAATTCTTATAAATCCATTTAAGTCTTTGCTTACAATTTCAAGAAAATTAAATCCTCTGCCTTAAATAAGTTGACTGTATATTGAAACTATTTAAGTTATAATTGTATTCTTTCTTTTTAATGAATATAAACTTATGCTCAAATAGCAATGAAATACAAGGCACTTAAAGCTGATTGTTAATGCCACTGCCTGTAATTTCTTTTCAATAAATAAATGTTCATTTGCTAAGTGAATATTCTGTCTCATAGATAAAACATGCAACATGGATAGTAAAAGTCATTAGCATAATACAAATGCTTGCAAAAGGCCTTTGGAATGCCTAAACTTAAAAAAGTACACTATCAAGGACTTGGAAAGAATCTCAAACTTCAAGGCCAAAAATCCACAGCATATTAATCTTCTTTATCAAAAAAGTTGATTGGGGCACTAAAGACAAAAATAAGCCTATTGTGCAAGAGCAAAAAAGAGAGGAGAGAGAGAGAGAGAGAGAGAGAGAGAGAGAGAGAATATATAAAAGACTGAGAGACCACATGGTATGGTGGAAAGATGCTACACTGAGGCAAGGGGATCTGGTGGCCTTGATTTTTTCTCCAATCAGCTTTTAAATCTCTAACCAGGCATTTCAACTCTGTGAACATGCATTTTCCCATATGCAAAAAGGAGAGGGTGAAGTACTTTTTCCAGGGTTTTTCCATGACAAACAATCTCAGAGCAGTTTTATGACTTAACCAAGGTGGCAGAGTCCAGAGAAAGAGTTTGAAAAAACTCTACAAACTTATAACTGGAGCTTTGCTTCCCAAGGGAACTCTTTTAAGTGAAAGCACTCATGCAGATTCACCCAGCTGTTACCCTTGAAAAGCACAGAGTAAATATGTTCTAACTTTCACAAAGCCGGAAATGTGATTGTTAAAAACTTCTGAGCGTAATTAGAAATTTGGAGATTGTTTTCTGGTTTTGTCATCTTATTTATAAACTACTTAATTCTGAAAACTTTCCTTTAAGAATCTTCCTAATGTGAACATTAAGAACATGGTGTAGGGTGGGTAGACAACAGACTGTCTGCATTTAAGATGAGAAGTCCATGGGGTATGAAGGGAATCTATGATTTCACATCATTGCCTTCAATTTTTTCTGACACATATTTCGAAATTTTCTGTTGATTCCTACTGTCACTGCTAGTATACAAGTGCATTCCTTTCCACACACGTTCTGCAGTGTCATCAGCCTCCAGAGCATGTGCTAAGAAACACGAGTCAAGAGTTCTCCTGAGGAGATGTTAGGATAGATGAGTGAGGACAATGAAGAGATGGTAGTCATGGGTAATAGGTGGCTTAGCATCTCTCAGAAATACCTGGCACTGTACAACTCACTGTAAGATATATGCGTAGCATGTAATTTATAGGATTTAATTTACTCTTCAGACACTTACAAATTACTTTGATTCATGTAGCCTACCATATGCCTCCATAACAGATTATAGGACAGCCTAGGTGTGTGCAACTTTCTATATTTTTAAGACCACTCACCAACAACATATAATATGTTCTATAAAAACCTAAACTTAAAATATCAGCTGTTAGGGGAAAGGCTGAGAATACACTTGCTTGGAAAATAAAGTTCCGTTAGTTCACAAAGAATTTTCAGTATATGATCATGCATTGAGAAGAAAAGCATACCTATGCTTAAGATTCATTATAATGATAATGAATCATGTTGATACATTAATTTACAAGGACTTCACAACTAGGGGTATAGCTCAGTGGTAGATTACTTGTCTAGCATTTGTGAGGCAAAAGCAAGCATTCGAGCACCTCAGAGCTATGCAGATTTGAAGGGAAAATCAGTGCAAAGATACATTAGGACAACTGAATAAAAAAATATAAAACTTTAATGTTCTCTCTCCTAGCATTTTATAAATGACCATTAAACTTTCTTAATTAAACTGTCAGACTTTTTATTCCTTTCCTTTTTATTTCCTCAATAAATAAGTTTTTCAAGAGCACTAGGAGTTGAAGCCCCATTTTTTTGTCTCACAGGCAAGATGCTATTAGGGGTCACTTCCCATGTACGGTGAAAACAATCTTCTTGGACAATAATGATAAAACCTTATGGAATGCAAAAACAACCAAAATATGTATTCTCGGATGACTGCATTAGGGCCAAGTCAATATTAGTCCCACTTCACCCACGCACCGCATAGTCTAAAAATGCTGTCAGCCTGATAAGAATTTCCTGATTTACTCTTTTCTCCAATAGAAAATATAGGTCATCAAAATAAACTCTTGACAGTAAAAGAACAGTAGTCATACTTTCAAGTCTCTCTTTAGTTCCCTAGCCAGTCAAATGTCAAATAGAGAAAGAAAAAGAGAGAGAGAGAGAGAGATTTGAACAAGACATTTTAGTAAAAGCAACATGAAAATTCCAAGCACCCCTTTCAACTCAATTCTTAAGATCAACTCAGCCAAACTTCTACTTAAGCAATGTCTACAGGAGCTCAAATACAGTAGAAGTTGATCATAGTACAACATAAATGTAGACAACTCAGGTTTACAAAGATTTTTTTTTTTTTAAGTTCATTCTTCAGCTTGTTGATAGCTTTTAGTAAAAGAATGAATTCATTCCTCACGGAAAACTAATTTTATGATTGGTAATTTGTAATTTTTCTAATAATGGATTGCATTTTCTAACACAAATAAAGTATTACAATACTAATCCCTACACAGAGGTTCATTGAATTAATTTCACAACTCTACAAAAAGACCTTATTTGCAACTTCTAGCTCACCAGATTTCTTTAAGAGGGGGAACTATCTTTCTGAATATTTAATAAAGTTTGAATCTGTTGCTTATCTACACTCCAACTGTTAACTGAAGTCCTCTAGAGTTTCAGAGATGGAGGAAAAGAGCTTCATTCTGGACTGGATGTTAAAAATACCCCAGGGTCTCCTTGCCTCACTTATACCACTTGAACTCCCATAGGTTTAAACCTCTATTACTGATATTTTGCATATACCAAAGAAAAACAGCTAAACTAAATGTTTTAATCTGTTCATCCTCAGTACAAATTACAAAATGTTTCCCCATCCTCCTCTTCAAAAGTAATTTCACCTTGAAATGCTGAAGCTGTTGAATAGTACAAATAAACAAATAAATAAATAATAGCAAGAAAGTAGGGATTCTTCCTTTTTCACCCTATCTGGTACAAGTTAAGTTGGTTCTGTGTTGCAGATGAATCTGGGGCATGTACCCTTACAGAATCAGTTGAATTTTACAGCCCCTAAAATTTAAATAGAAAGTCATAGTTTCTTTCCAAAGAAACCTATCAATCCAGGAAAGGAACAGAAGAAGAAATATAAAAATTCGAGGTGCGAATTAACTAAAGGGTCAAGTATGTAGAGCCACAATAAAACATTTGTTTCCTGAGAAACAAAAATCAAGGAAATCAGTAAATTCTGTCAATGATAATGCCCTAACCCCTAACCATATCTAGTTGCATTTAAGACTCTAAACCCCACAATCTGAGGAGGATCCTATTTTGGTACAGTCCCTTAACACACACATACATTTTTTAATGTAGTGCTAATTAAACCTTGTGGTGTTCAGTGAGTAATATCCAAGGACACCTAGTGTCTGATTCCACAGAGCCCTGGTCTCCCTTCTAAACTAGATCGTCTCCTTGTTCTGAGTCCCCCTTTAAGTCCCCCATTCAGTCGCCTAGCATGGCGGAAACCCAGCTTCCAGGGACTCAAGATTACCTCTGGAATGGGGAACACACGTTTCAACAGACCAAACACTGTTAACAGGCTCTGTGCTTTGATGGAATTAGAAAATGAATGAAGAACCTTGACATCACTGCCGTCTAAGTCACAGTCACAGAGAAAAGCTCTTCGAGAAGTTATAGAAACATTCAATATAGGTTGCATTAGGCCAGTGTTCCACCCTAAAATTCCCCAAAAAGTTCATGTCATGAGCTCACTGTTCAGGTAGCCTCTTATACCTCAGTGGCACACTTCGTTCTCCTAATCCCGAAAAACCTGGCTGGCACACTCTCACCTTTCCAAAGAAACAAAATATTTGATTTAAAGGAAGTTTACTCACATAGTCCTAAGTCAGATGCCCTTGGTGAGCTTCAGAGAACTGAGTCCTAAGAGTCAGGGTGGCTTTGAGGATCAGCCTCTGAGCTCTGGTGACAACAGCTCAATAAAGCCCCCAGCCAGGTAATGCCTCTTATCCCACCCATCCACCTGGCTGTTCTTCCCTCCCCAAGCCTCTCCTCCTATCTTCTGTTAGCTTTCTGCTCAGGGACGCTTCCGCAGGTCCCAGAGCATCCTTTGCGCCACCCGTCCCAGCCGGACGGGATGTCGCAGGAGCCCCAGACCGATACTCTCGGTGCCCCTCGCCCCCGCCCCCGGCAGGTTGCCTGCTCGGTGACTCACCTGCTGGCCAGGTTGGGGAGCCGAATGATAGCAAGCTGTGGGGCAGGTTGCAGCTGCCACAGGGTTGGGCAGATACTGGGGCGCTCCATACGGCTGGGGGTGATACATCACCTCCGCACAACTCATGGCAGCAGGGGCAGCGGCGGACCCCGAGTTGCCGCCGCCGCTTTACGCGCTGGCGCGAGGGGCGCCGCTGCCACCGCCGCAGCTGCTGCCTCTGTGGCTGCTCCAGCTGCTACTGCGGCGAAGGCGGGTCTTCGGCGGCCTCCGGCTCCGCGCCGGGAGCGAGCTCGGGAGGGGTTGGCAATCAGCGGCGGCCCATGCGCGGGCACCTTCATCTTCAGCCCCTCCGGGTGCCCCCTTGCCCGAGCTTATATAGCGACTCCGGGACGCAGCCGCCCGCCCTGCAACGGGAGCATGACAGTGCTGGGTTCCGGAGAGGGCAGCGATGCCCAAGGCAGCAGCAGCCACAGACCTGGCCCGGGTTAGGTAGCCCTGGGGAGCCGGGACACTGGTTTGCATATACACAATGCACGCCCGGGGCTCGTCCTATCACCAGCGCTAGCTGCTGGGCGAGGACCGGGAGGCGGGGGCACGGAGGGAAGAAGGTTGGGGAGGAGGGGGAACGCTTCACCTCCCCAGGCTCTGACGCCGAGCTTTGCAAAGTTCCCTCAACTCTGTCTGCGGAGGGCGGGTCGCCCAGCAGGGGGACCCTGGAGAGGGCTGGCTGCGGATTGGAGCGAAGTTTGCAGCCCTCTCCGCCTCCCAGCATGGGACGGTGGTGGGAGGAGAATGGTATGCTAGAGGCTCCGCGCCCTCAGAGTTCCACAGGATCCCACCCTGTCTGTGTCACCTGGACACCAGGGCCAGAGCTTCGCAATTCCAAGAAGCTTTTACAGGGCGCATCAACACTAGACCCAAATGGAGGTCAAATGTACAAAGAGGTAAAACCTCGCAGGCGCAAAATAAACTGAGATTAGTTCCAAACATTAAAAATACCCCGAAGTGAAAGTTAATATTATCCCAAGTGCTCACATGCCAAGAATGTAACGCGGTTTTCTACAAGCAATTCCGCTTTAAATTTAATCTTCATGGTAAGACATTCCTGTGGGATGTGTACCTTTTCTGGCTCTTACCACCTGGTTTCCATAGAGCTCTAGGGGGAAAAAAATTGATCAAACCCATTCAGCTACTATTTAAAGATGTATTGATTTGCAAGTGGCTTATAAATCCTCTCCAAAAAGAAGAAAAAAAAATGTTTGTAGGAATATAATTGTTTTCCGATATAATCAGTTTTAGAAAAGAATTATACATATTTTATAAATGAGCAAACTCTAGTTCTGACCTTTACCTCTTTTATGACACACAGTGATCTCTTGTTTTTGATCTGTCCTTTCTCAGAAGAAAGTCAATTTGGATGTCAAATGAGCTGATTTTGTCATGGACTAAATAGCGTCCCTCACCAAAAATTCACAAGTTGAAACCTCAGCCCCCAATATGATTGTATTTGAACACAGGCCTTAAGGAGGCAATTAAGAAGTCATGGCTTTGGGACTTATTGGACAGACTGGTGTGCTTACAAGAGGAAGACACCTCAGATTGATCTCTCTCTCTCTCTCTCTCTCTTCCCCCACCCCTCCACTGACAGAGAAGAAAGTCCATATGAAGAGTCAGTGCCAAGGCAGCTGTCTCTACAAGCCAGGAAGAAAAGCCTAACTTAAAATCAACACTGCAGGAGGATCTTGAATTTGTAACTTCCACAACTCAGAGAAAATAAATTTTGTTGTTTAAATCACCCAGTCTGTGTGTGGTATTTTTCTTATGCCAGACCCAGCATACCAATGTACATGTATAGTTCTAATATATTGTTAATCTTTATATCCTCTCACACAAATGCACACACACAAAGACATAAACTATACATAAACTATAAAATTGAATAGGAACATTTTGCTATCCCATAACATCAACTATTAATTCATTCATTTTATCATCCCTTGATTCTTAAAAATATATTTATCAGGGACTTACACTGTTAGCCTTTAAATTATGCTTTTTTAGCATTTTTATCAATAAAATAAATACAAATTTACTTCAACTGTTTATTACTGTATTTTCCCAAATTTACTCTCCTTGGTTATACCCCAGACTCATCTATTTGGATTCTTTCTAGACCACTCTACACAGGTGCTCCATAAGGACTTTGGTCATGATAGCACTGATCTCGCCACACCCCAAATTGATCCTGCTTTCATGTCTATCCCAGATATTGAAACATCAGTGATCAACTATACCAGTAGACAACTTAGAATCTTCACACACTCCTTTCTTCTCCTCAGAGTCCCTACCTCCAGTCTTGGAGTCCAGTTGATCCCAAATCTTACATTGACGCTGACAAGCTGACAATCTCCTCTCCTTTCCTTACTCTTGTTGCTATGATCTTGAGTTTCTCAGTATCTCTTCCCCAGAATTCTGCAAGAGGCTTCTTGCTGATTTTCAGGCCTCATGTACAGATCCATTCTGAGCGATTTTTATTTATTCTTTTATGATCCAAACACAGCAAATCAAACAGAGCAATGAGGTTTTATCCCTTTTAAAAAAAATCATAGTAGCTCCATAAAATGTGTCATTACTTTTTTTTTTTTAATCTTCCAATCATGGACTCTGCCTTTGTGACTACCATGTAGTCATCTGAATCAAGAGCTCCCATTCTAGGTAGGATCCATAGAATCTTCTACCACTATGTCTTTTTATAGGTGTGCAGAACATCTGATCCAACAGCCTACTTCCTGTCTTCTTCACTTGCTAATTCTTTCTTGCTCTTCAAGGAACCATTTTTTAGAAGATCCAATGAAGGGTAGCCTTAATGCCTCTATTCTCAACAGACACTGCTCTTATTTTACTAATAATCAATTACTTGACCTGAAACTGCTTATGTGCTTGTCCTGACAATAACTGTTTGAGAGCTGAGACTGTGACTTCTACTTCTGAATCTCAACCCTATAAAGTGTCGCTTAATAAATATTCATTGAATAAATTATAAAAAGGAAGGAATAAAAAACATTTTAGAAGAATCTAAAAAATCCAAGCATATATGAAATCAATGAATGTTAAAACGGTGAACATGTTTCTGCTTTTCTCTCAAATAAGAGAATGAGAAGTTACTGGTGGTAGAAAAAATTCAAGACCTATAGGATAAAGTGACTGAATTCAACCACAAAGCTAGGACAGCCTCTCAAAACACTTAATAGCTCCAACTTTTTCTTCAGATAATATAATTATAATTAATTACATTTTCCAATGATGTGTTTAATGTCTATCTCCTCTACTAGAATCTTGCAGAGATCATTTCTATCTTATTTACTCCTACATTTAACATTTACGAGGTTGATTGAGAAACCAGAACTAGATTAAAGATATGATATTCCCACTTGTGGTACTTTCCAAGTGCCCAAAGGTCTTGCAAATCTTCATTTTGTGACAAAGATATTGTTCTTAGGTCCTAAAGTCATGGACACAAATGTCTGGAAGTAGTTGATAAAATCTTCCTACAATGTAATATCTTTTTTGATAGCTTCCCTTTTTATTGTTGAAAGAAAAAAATGAGAAAGTAAAGATAAATTCTGTCTAGAATTAGAATCTAAAGAATAAATCATTGCTAAGAGTCACAGCCAAGTAATATGATGCATGACATTTTTGGTTGAAAGGTGACGCCAGCAAGCCATTGAGATGATATGATTATGTTAAGATCTGCATTCATATGGATATTGGACTCCTGCTGTCCACCTTGGCCTGCTACGGGACTCCTGGAGAGTTCCTATTGGTTGGGGAAGTGCTGTAGGAGGGAATTCCCGAGGAGGGACTTCCTGTTGGGGTCCGGGAGAAGGCCTCGTGGGTCGGTCGGAAATCTTCCCAGGAGCGTACGGGGCATTGGTGGCAGTTTCAAAAATAAAGTTTGTTCCTGCTTGAGTGGCTCGTGATTTTGTGCCCAGCCAGACTGTGGCAAATCATAGAAAAGAGAGAGAAAATATCTTGTCAAAGACTGTAGTATTAGTTGTCTCCTTGGTAAAAATTAAGATAATTCCTGTTAGAACTAAGTTAGAATTCTGGTAGAAAAGGAGATATGTCTGACTTATCCAAGGTATATGTTAAGGGTTTTAGAATGGAAAAGAATCAGAAGAGTCATTTAGTTTAAAACATCTTGTTTCATAGATAAGTGAACACATAGCTTGAGAAAGGTCTCATAATGGACTTGTGGTAGAACCAAAGCCCCAAGTCTTTTGAATCTTGATTCAATTTTCTTTCCATCATCACATGATAAGGATATATGAATAAACACCACATAATAAGGATATATGACTAAACACTTCTGTTCACATTTATATTCACATTATAGATGTGTATGCATATTCATTTATGCAAATGCAAGCATGCATACATGAAAAAAAAAAAAGAGGTTTCCTATTATATTATCCTTTGGTCACCTTGGAATGTGTGGGCAGGAGTGCAGACCAGTTGCATTTAGCTGTGTATAATGAGTCACTCAGATCAGATAATACTATCTGACCACTGCATTCATTGTCATCGCTATTATGTACAAGAGTCACAATTGCGTGGAGAGAACAATGAAAGGTAATGCGATTTTATGAACTTCTCAGCCAATGTTTCTCAAAGTTTGCCCTCTGGTATTTTCTTCTCTTTCTTTAGCACTACTTACCTTCTCTTCTGATTGAATCTATATATGGAACCAAATCTTACCTGGTCTGATATTTATCCCTCTACTTTTTTCTATCCCAGTCACTGTAATACTAATAAAATACCCAAATGACCTGAAATGTTCCCAATTCTTCAGATTCAGTAATTTACACCCACTATATTTTAAGACTCTACCTGCAAATTTTCCTAGAATGTTCCCAAATTTTATAGCTGACATTTAGTGAGGTGAACCTCCCATTTACTTATTCATTTATTTATTTTAATTTGGAGAGGCAACTTGAACTGGATTTTTCCTTTTTTTTATATTTTATTTTTTAATATATATTTTTTAGTTTTAGGTGGACACAATATCTTTTTTTTTTTAATTTTTATGCGGTGCTGAGAATCGAACCCAGTGCCTCACGCATGCTAGGCAAGCACGCTACCACTTGAGCCACATCCCCAGCCCTTGAACTGGATTTTCAATTATCTCTTGGGATAAGTTAGGGTCAAAAGTGGGGGAACTTCTTTTTTTGAGTGATGACAGCCAGCCTGCTTTTAGCTTGGGGTACCAATGTAAGAAAACATAGAGGACCTATAAATACATTTGCATGGCTATCCCAGGCTATATTTTTCCAAATCCCCTCCCTACCTATTCCAGCCACTAAACAGCGACTTTGAGGCAGCCTCTGGCCTAAGTTGAGCCCACTGATAAACCAGTCTGCTCTGGGCTCTGAGGATATGGGTGTCCATCATTTGTGTAGAGGATCAGCAGGTTATGAGTATCAAAACATGGTTATTTTAGGCAGAAAAAATGATCTGCTAGAGTTT